TTTATATTATATTTCTCATTATTATTTTTCAAATATGTATGCATATTAATATTTCATATTTTATTTTTTAGTTTCTAAATTGTCAAAATAATTCTTTTATTCCAAAACTTAAACTAAAAGGCAAAATTAAAATTTATTGAAACATTCTGTTGCTGCCACCAATTCATCAACACACTTTGCTGTAATTGAACAATTTTTACACAAATAATATTTTTCAAATAAAAAGTGTGTTTAAGTGAAAAACAATAAAGTAAAATTAATAAATTTAGTTAAAAACTCTTGCATAACCAGAAAACGGTAAACTAGCAAATGATATATTGGCACAAACATGCTGTATTACAAAATAACTGCAGTTTATCGCCTTGCGGTTCTTTCATTTAAAACAGTATTTAAAATTTCTGACAATAAAGGGCCATCGTGTATGTTTGCTACAACAATTGCTTATGAATTTATATAATATTTCTTTACAATTAAATTTGGCCAACTGGTTTTGAGCTGCGAGCATGGCTTGCAATATTTTTGAAACGTTGTTTTTTCTTTTTTTTTTTCAAATAAAAAAAAGTTTGCTGTATATAAGTTTGCGGTGACTTTTTTAAATAAAAATAAATTAAAACTTGAATTGGCATCAAAAAGCGCATGCGTATCGGGGATGCTTGAGCAAAACTATTGGCACTTTGTGTTGAAAATGCTAACTTTGGCGTTTGGCAATAATTTTTAGAGCATATAAAGTCGCCGAATGCAATACAACAAATTTCGACCGTTATTCAGTGTAGTGCGCAAGTGTGTTGCTGCGGCGAAGTGGCATTCAATGCGTTACACACATATGATATTAAGAAAATAGCCGTGTATTTGCTGTACTCGCACTGTTGTTGTTGCACTTCGCCGCAGCAAGCACTTTACGTTTTGGCATTTCAAAAAGCACTTGCTGCTGGTTTACTTTAATTTCCTTAAATACTTTACACTAACCTGCGCGCTCGTCTTAACTGCAACAATTACCCAAAAAATTTTTAGTTACACTTGAACTTCTTATTATACAGTTCTTTTTCTTTGTTATCAACACTCTCGACTTGCATAATTTTTGTTTTTTGTGCGGTCTTAAAGGCTATATCATTAAATTTAAACCATTTTATATATTTGTTTTATTATTTATATATATATAATATGTATATATAGTCATAATAATTATTACATATGCATTTATGTACCTATATTTATATGCAGCTAATAATTAATTATTATTAATCTATGTATGTATATATGTAACTTCAATTTGTGTGTGTTTTGTTTTTATATTAACTTTATTTTATTTTAGCCCATATCCAACGCCTACCTCGCTTCATTCGCTCGATTTTACTTCACTTTACTTGTTTATTATATTACAGAACAGTTCTAGTACTTTTGTTATATATATATATATATTTATATATTTATGCAACACACCGCTCGGTGACCGCCAAGGCAGCATTATTACTCACTTTCACAAATTTTAATGTTATGAACCATATTTTTTTTAGTTTTAACAGTCTAGTGAGAACTATTTACATATATATGTTTATAATGCAATTTAAAATAGTTTGGGCGCAAATTTAATACGCTCACAATAAAAAAAAATAATTTAATTTTGGTCTAACAGTTACACTATAATATGAAGAGTTGGACAGACAGAGATAATAATAATAAAATGTCAGCATGACATAACCTAACTTGTCAGCTGCAGCTGGAGTTTAGTACTTTACTTGACACGCCTCTAATGATTCACAAATAATACGTACTAGTGCCTAATACTCTTAAAAAACGAAAATTTGTCATTAAACTTTGCTATGGCAGAATGTATTTGATTGTCAGACGGGCATTATAATCTCCTATAAGATATATGCATTATTTTATATTGATTGATTGAGCTGAAACGATTTTTAGAGACTTACGCAAATAAAAAAAACAACAGCAGTGGCGCAAATAAACTTAAACCGAGCTTTACTTAGCATTTTACTTGAAGAGAATTCCGCTAATAATTTTTTATAAAAAAAATATATAAAAAAATTAATTAATTTAATTTTTAATTGTAAACTTGAAAAATCATTTTATTTTTAATTTTCATTCTAGGGTTAATTTGAAAAAAAAAACACAATAACACTTTAACACCAAAAAAAGACTAAAAATTAAAAACGTTTTTTTTTTTTTTTTAATTATAAATCTAATCGAAAAAATAAAATTTCAATCCCAAGTTTACATTTAAACATTAACAAAATTGTTTTAAATTTTGCAACGTGATCTACAATTTGGTTATCTTTTGAAAAAGCTTTTTTTTTTAATTAAAATTTCTACTAGTTCCAAAATTTTTTGTCTTATTTATATTTAAATGTTCTTAATTACAGTGTTTAAGTTTGTTTGGGATTAAAACTTAAACTTTCAATTTTAAA